GGGGGGGGCAGCAGGGCAGAAAGCCCCATGGCAGGGCTCTTAGGGTGCTTGGTTTGTGTTTTTTGTTTGTTTTTTTTGCTTCTACAAACCCAGGCCTGGCCGCAGCCGTTCCCAGGCGCCGCGGGGCTCGGGGGGTGGGAAACGCGTGTGCCGGTCGGTGTGAGCACAGTCCTGAGGTAATCTTTTCTTCTTTGTGCAAGCCCCGAAGGCTGGGGGGACGGCGGGGTGGGGGGGTAGATCATTGTGCCCTTGTGCCCACGGTGAATCCTGAGGTTAGCGGGGGCGCGCCGGGCCCACCCTCACTCCAGCATGGCATCCAGCTGGTCGGCCAGGTCATCGAACATGCTGCCGATGTCGTCCAGGATGCTGACGGTGCTCTTTGACTCCGCCGCCGCGCTGCAGGGAGGGGAGGGGTACCGTTAGCACTGCTGGGGGGGACCTCAAACACAGCCCCCCTCCCCGCCTGCGGCACCCCGGGGTGCTGGGTGCCTGCTGTGTGATGCACCAGGTGGACAGGAGGGTGGATGTGATGGCTCTGGGCAGCACAGACACCCCCGCCCCTCCCCCAGCACCCCACTGTGGTGGGGCTCATCCCCTCCCAAAACCCCCTGGCCGGAGCCCCTGCATTGCCTTTCTTCCCTGTCAGGCGGCATCTCCCACGCCCCAAATCAAGCAGGGTCTCTGCCAGCTCCACGGTGCCAGGCTCGGACTCCGGGTGCATCTGTCCATTGGGAGAGCTCAGCTGAAGCTCCCCAGTCACTGGTTTAGGATGGAGATTAGGAAACACCTTATCACTAGGAGGGCAGTAAAGCACTAATGGGTCACCCAGAGCGGTGCTGGACTCTCCATCCTTGGAGGTTTTTAAGGCCCCGCTACACACAGCCTTGCCTGGGATGGTGTAGCTGGGGCTGGTCCTGCTTGGAGCAGGGGGTTGCACTAGATGTGACCCCGAGCTCTCTTCCAACCTGAATTTTCTATGATTTGCAAGCTGGACCAAAGCCGCAGCGAGCCACTCAGGGCTTAGTCCCGCTGGGTCACCCCCCTCCAATTCCCTGGGCCAGGAGGCAGGCGAATCCCTGCAGCCAGGGGATAGAAACCTAGAAAGGAGCAGCAATAGCCGAAGCCCCAGGGGGAGGACAGGCCCATCAGGTAGATACCAGAGAAGCCGATATCCTAATGCTAGAGGCAGGAGGACCGAGCAGGAAGAGCCGGTGCTCCCAGGGCAAGCGCAGAATAGTACCTGGGATTACGGGATAGTGCACGTGACCGGAGCACGGTGACGGAGAGGTGTCGCTTGCTCAGAAAGGACAGGCAAGGGCACAAAAAGAGGAGGTCTGTAAGGGAAATGTCCGCGTGCTCAGAGGCACAGTACGAAGCAGACGGGAGGCCTGCTGAAAGCCTCTGGGTACAGACCAGAGGGGGATGTCACGGGGGCCCGCTCCTGGCCACACAACCAGGAGGAGAAGGGGGACGAGGCCTTCTTGAAGCAACTGATGGAAACTTCCAAACGGCAGGACTTGGGTCTCATGGGGGACTTGAATTATCAGGACATCTGCCGCGGGGGGGGAGCCCAGCAGACCACAAGCAATGCAGCACGTTCCCAGAGCGTGCAGGGGATCGCTTTCTGGAGACCAACGAGGCGGAGCTCACCAACAGGTGAACGTGCCGGGGGAAGGTAACGTGGGTGACAGCCATCACGAAGCGCTCCAGATCTCGATGGCCAGGGGAGGAAGGAAGGAGAGCGGCAGAAAAAAGACACCAGACTTTGGAAAAGCAGGCTAGCAAACTCAGGATCCCCTGGGAGGCAAGTCGGAGGGGGAAAGCAGTGCAGGACAGCTTTGAAGAGACTGCATTAAGGAGCAAGCCTTCCCGAGGAGACGAAGAGCGGGCAATGAAACGGGAGAGCAGCCTGGCTGGGCAGCCATCGCTTCAATGAGCTGAGACTCAAAAGGAGGAAGCCAAGTGGAAACGTGGTCAGAGCACCGGGGCTGAGTGCAAGAGCATCGCGCGGGCATGCAGGGAGACACCTGGGAGGGACACGGCCCAATCTGAGATGCAGCCGGGCGAGGGACATAAAAGGCAATTAAAAGGGAACCTACAAGATCAGAGGTAAAAGTTAGACCAAGGAAAGCATAGCTAAATGCAGAGGAGGCTGAAGTATTTAATGCCTTTTTTTTTTCACTTCAGTCTTTATGAATGAGGTCAGCCACCAGATGATGAGTGCAGTTGGCAGCAAGGGTAGAGAAGGAGACAAATAGCCTGGAGGAGCAAAAGAACAGGGCAGGGATTACTGTCTAGATGTTTTCAAGTCAGCAGGGCCGGACAGGAGGCACCCTGGGGCGCTGGAGGAATTAGCTGAGAATTGCGGAGCCAGTGGCTCTGCACCTTGAGGACTCGTGGAGGTCGGGGGAGGTCCTGGATGACTGGGGAAAGGGGGAACAGAGTGCTCAACTTTAAGAAAAGGAAGGAAGAGGGTCCGTGGAGTTACAGACCAGTCAGTCTGGCCTCGATACCTGGAAAGACCATGCAGCAGGTCCTCAAGAAGCACCTAGAGGAGAACAAGGTGATCAGGAGCAGCCAGCGTGGATCCACCAAGGGCAAGTCGTGCCCGACCAACCTGATTTCCTTCTATGATAAGGTGACAGGCTCTGTGGATGGAGGGACAGCAGTGGATGTGATATATCTTGACTTCAGCAAGGCTTTTGGCCCCATCTCCCATGACACTCATTAGCAAGCTAAGGCAATACAGACTAAAGTACTGGAAGATGGAGAGAGAACTGGTTGGATTGTCATGTTCAACGAGTAGTCACCAATGGCTCAACGTCTACTTGGGAGGACGTATCAAGTGGGGGTCTCCAGGGGTCTGTCCTGGTCCTGGACCTCTTCAACATCTTCAGTAATGATCTGGATGATGGACTTGGGTCCACACTGAGCAATTCTGCAGATGGCACCAGGTGGGACAGAGCTGCAGATACAGGGCTAGGATCCAGGATGACCTGGATACAGTGGAAAAACGGTGTGCAATCAGATGAGATTCAACAAGGCCAGGTGCAAAGCCCTGCGCTCAGGACAGGATAGTTGCATGCACAAATACAGACAGAGGAAAGACTGGCTGGGCTGCAGTGCTGCAGAGAAGGCCCCAGGGACTACGGCAGGCCATAAACTGGTGTCAGCCAACAGTGAGCTCTTGTTGCAAAAAAGACCACCGGTATGCTGGGTTGTGCAATGCACAGGAGTCTTGGGTGCAAACCCAGGGAAGTGATTCTTCTGCTGTATTCAGCACCTCACCTGCAGCACCGTGTCCAGCTCTGGGCCCCGCACCTCCAGGAAGTGGACAGGTTGGAAAGCATCAGGCAAAGAGTGACAAAAATGATCAGGGAAAGGAAGACTGAGGAGCAAAAGCTGAAAGAACCAGGATTATGTAGGCTGGAGAAGGGCAGGCTTTTGGGGAGGGGGGAGGGTTGACAACAGTCTTCAAATACCTGAATGGTAACTGCAGAGAGGATGGAGATGGGCTTTTGTCTGTGGCTGCAGGGGACAGGACTAGGAGGAAAAGCCTCAGGCTGCAGCAGGGAAAATGTAAGGGTGGAGATGAGGAGGAGCGGTCCAACCACGAGGGTGGTCAAGCACGAGAACAGGCTGGAAGTTTTCCCGAGCGGCTCGGACAGACCCTTGGCCGAGACGGTTTAGGCAGGAACGTCCCACCGTGAGCAGGGGCTGGATGAGATGACTCTGCAAGGTCCCTTCCAGCCCGACTTTCCTATACCAGCACCAAACCCCAGCCCAGACACGGGCCATGACACCCACCCCTGCATGCAGGATCCAGCCCCATGGAGCCCCCCAGCCCATTGTGGGGACATCTGGAAAGAAACCCTGGGACCCTCCAAGCTGGGAGAGGTCTCGCTGGCCTTTCCTGTTGGGCTCTGCCTTGGCCATGTCCCGCAGGGTCCAGGGGCGTCCGTGCGAGCTCCCCGCAGCACGGCCCAGAAGAAGGGTCCCCCACCGACCCTGGACCCTCCCCAATACCCGGGGCCCTTACTCTGCAGCTTGCCCATCCTCCTGCTTGATCTTCTCCTCCACCGCCTGCAGCGCGGCCGCCAGCGAGGCGCTGGTCTCCTCCAGCTTCTGGTGCGCCATCTCGGTGCTGGCGCTCTCCACCGACGGCCCGGCGATGGAGGAGCGTGGCGGCTTGATGGGCACCTGCTGGGGCTGCCCGCCGGGCGAGAGGGGCTTGGCAGGGCTGGAGCAGAGCGAGGGTGGTGTGCTGGAAGGCTTGGCCGTGGGGGCGAGCTGCTTGGCGGGCGACGGGGCGGGCGTGGAGCTCGCGCTCACCGACTGGATGGCGGCGTGGGGCTTGGCCGGCTTGGGCGCCGTCGGCGGTGGGGTGGGCTTGGGGGACACCGGCGGTGGGGTGCCGTGGACCCGCTTCACCTCTGCGGGAGAGGAGAGAGGAGAAGGGCCGTGAGAGGCATCGCCACTCCCAGCAATTCAAGGTGGGAGGAGAGAGCCCAGCAATCGGGGCTCACCCCACAACCCCCCATCCCCACCTGAGGACGCCACATACCTGGGCTGCCAGGGCTGGGGATCGGCACCTTTTTGGACGTGGGGGTGGGCGGCCCGGGTACCTTCTGTGCTTGCTGGGGTAACACGGGCTTGGGGGACACCGGTGGTTTGAAGGGCTTCTTGGGCTCCGCTGGCTGCGGCGCGTGTTCGAGCCCGTCGGCGGGCGGTGGCGGGGTCAGGGGTGGCGGCGCGGGCATCTCGGCGCCGCTCGTCTCAGAGGCCGGCCTCCGCTTGATGGTGCCGGTGCCGTTCTGGTAGACGGAAAGTGGGGCCGGCTCCAGGCCCTGCTCCTTGTCCTTGGTCTTGGGCCGCCGCTTGACGGTGTCTGACTCGGTCAGGATGAACTTGACACTCTCCTGCTGGCTCTGCTTGGCCCGTATCCGCCTCTTCAGCGTGGCGCTGGCTTCCACCTTGGCCAGGTCGCCGTGGCGGTGCGCGGGGGACAGTGCCTCCCCCGCCTCAGCCCTGGCCGGCGCCAGGCCGCGGGGCCGCTGCTTGATGGTGAGGTTGCCGTCTTCGGCGAAGGGGATGTTCTCGGACGAGCTGTTCTGGGGGGAGCCCCGCAGCCGCTCCACGGCGCTGCCCTCCTTCCCTGCGTCCGACTGCACGCTGCCGGAGCGCTCCCGGCGGGCCGCAGCCAGCAGCCCGGTGACGGGGCCGCTGATGGTCCGACGCCGGTTCACCACCTCGCCGTCCAGCCCGATGGCATCTTTGTGCTTGACTGTAGCCAGGACGGTGGCCACGCGGCCGTGCTCGGGGCTGGCAGGGTGCATGGTGCTGGGCGGCACGTAGTAGCCGTCAGGCCCCTTCCCCCCGGCGCCGGGCGGTTTCTGCAGCGCCAAGGCCCTGGCACCGCCGCCAATAGAGGACATCTCGAGCATGGCGGCGATGCTCTTCACACTGCCCGCGCTACCCGTGTCCACGCTGCCACCGAAGTCGCTGGCCCGCCGCTGCTCCACGTAGGGCTCCGGCATCTCCTCGTCCTCGCCGGGGCCGTCCCCCGCCTCCCCGTCCTTGAAGTCCTCAGTCATGTTGGTGCTGGAGATGGCGGAGCTGGAGCGCTTGGGCGGGGGCGGTGGTGGGCCCTTCTTCTTGGGCCGCACGGCGAAGGACTGGCTGCGGTTGACGTTCTTGTCGGCACCCGACTGAGCCCGCACGGAGTGGCTGCGGCCCACACGCCGCTGCACCGTGGCGTAGGGCCCGGCATCCGGCACCAGCAGCTCGTCCCGCTCCTGCTCGCTGTCGGACATGGCGTAGCGGTTCAGGCTGTGCGCCCGCTTCTTCGGCCGGCCCAGCTCCTCCTCCGCCTCCCCGCTGGGTGGCGGCAAGCACAGCACCGGCACTGAGACGGGCAGCACCGGCACGGCCTGGGCCAGCGGACCCGGCGGATGCCCCGCCTCAGCTTCCACAGGCTGCGGCATGACGTAGGCGAAGCCCCGGTGCGTGGGCGACTGCGGCAGGGAGCGGGGCGACATGGGGCGGTCGGCCTGCTGCAGCAGCTGGGGCGTGGGCTTCACCTTGGCGGTGGCATGTGGCACGCCCAGGGTCTGGGGGGACGAGGGCCGCGGCTTGGTGGGTGTCTGGGGCGGGGTGAAGTGCCCCGCAGACGGCGGGAAGGACTGCCGCGGCTTGCCGGGCACAGGCGGCACGCTGGCTCTCTTCACGGGGTGCCCGTGCCGCAGGGAGCGCACCTCTTTGGGCAGGCTGGGGGGCCCCTCCTTGCCCTCCTCCGTCAGGTACTCCTGGCTCTTGGACATGGCAGCGCTCGGCCCTTTGGGCTCATCGCCCAGCAGCTCTTGGGAGCTGCTGATGTGCTTGGCTCGGCTGCCCAGGCTGTTCTGGTGCACGTGGTGGGTGGCAGGGGGCCGGTAGCCAGCGCCCTCCCAGAGGTGCGGCACGTGGTTGGCCGGCTTCTCGGGCTCATCAGGCGCCTCGCCAGTGCCCGTCATGGCCACCTGCAGCTCACTGCTGAGCTCGCTGTCCTGGAACGTGGTCATCTTCGGGGACTGGCACTCGGCACTCTCGGGCGGGGGCGACTCGATGGCCACCACATCCAGCGACTGCGGCGCCTTCTTCTTCAGTGTCCCCGACTCGTACTTGACGTACTCGGCCTTCTGCAGCTCCGCCAGCTTCTTCACCGCCAGCATCAGCTTCTTTTGGTGGCCTGCGGGGGGGACAGATGGCAGCGGGGGAGGTAAGAAAGCACTGGAGGGCACGTGCACACAGCCGGGAGCCCAGACTGGGAAGGATGCAGGCTGGGGAGAGAGAGGAGTGACTGGGACGCAGGGTTATCCCCCCTGGAGCTCAGCTTGCAGAGATCAAGTGAGGTGCCCAAGGCTGCCCAGGGGGTCAGTGGTGGAGCCAAACTTGACACTGCCAAATGCCAAGCCGGTCCTCTCACAGCAGCCCCGGCACCACATCTCGCCAGTCTGTACCCCGCCCCGTGGCCAGGGTCTCCCTGGAGCAGAGGGCGCCGGTGACCGGTGCCACCCGGCCTCGCCTTACCCAGCTTGGTGATGCCAATCTCCTGCAGGTCCTCCCACGTGATGTCCGTGATGAAGTCGATGTTCTCGTAGCCATTCTCCACCAGCACCTTGTAGTACTGCGACAGCCCGATCATGGACAGCCAGAGCGCCAGGTTGGCCTGGGAGGGGGGAGCAGAGCCTGAGCAGGTGCCACAACCGCATGCCCGGCCCGAGCGGAGATGGCTGCCTCCGGCGGCGCTGCAACCAGCCCAGCGCCAGCATGTCCCTGCCCCCAGCACCCCCGCCTCAGAGCAGGTATGGGGCAGGGGGGCATCGGCTTTGAGCTCTGCGCCGACCCGCAACAGTGCCACGCCTGACGCTGGCAGCTGCAACCCCGTGCCATGCCCCCCATTGCCCCTCCAGCCCAGGGCCCGCTGCAGGTGTCCAGGGCCCAGCACCAGGCCTGTGGGAGAGAGCCGCAGAGCTGCGGGGACCTCACCGGCAGGGGGGTTTCCTCCAGCTCGGCGCGGTCCCGGCGCCCACCGCCCGGGCCCCGCGGGCAGAGCCGTACCGGCTTGTACTCCGGGAGCCACTCGGGGATGTTCAAGCTGTTGATCTCCGAGGCGATCTTCTTCCGGTGCCCAGGCTTCGTCACACCGATAGCCGTGAGGTCCTGGGGCCGGGAGGAAACTTGTCACCCACCCGCAGCCGCTGGCTGGCCGGGCACCGGCTCACGGTGTGCACGGGGTCACCCACCTCTTTCAGGCCAGGAGCTGAGACCCGGCCCGCCAGCCCCAGTCCCCCTCCGCGGGGGCTGGAGATCCCCCACCACCCTCCCCTTTCCTCGGGACCGGCCGCCCCCAGCTTTGCTGCCCAGTCCAAGCTTGAGCATGCAGCACAGCCCCGATCCTGCCGCCCAAAGTGGAGGACTGAGGTGTGGGGGTTTGGAGCTGCCTGGCCGCCTCCTGGCCCCACGCCTGCCCTCACCTCTGGCGTCATGCGGCTGATGGTGGGGATGTCGTAGCCGGCGTTAATGAAGTTGGGCGCGTAGAGCTGCAGCTGGAACTTGTACAGCCACTGGTACACGGCCTCCGAGCTCTGGGGGCGAGGGGGCGGCATCAGGGGCTTGGTGCATGCGGCCCTGACCCTGGCCACCCCCATCCAGATGTGCTGCCCAGGCCTTCCCACTGGGCAGCTTCCTAGCAAGCACAGCTGGCCACTGCCGGGAGGCTAGGCAGCGAGCGCTGCTGCTGAGCTGGGCCCAGGAGGGTGCTGGGCACGCTGCCGGGGAGGGGGGTACCAACATGGCTGGCCAAAAGGATGGAGGCAGCAGAGAGGGCTGGGGTCCGGCCCCATATTGCATGAGAAAGCTGGCACCAGCTGCACCCTGGCCCAGCCCCGCTCTAGCACTGAGGAGCTGTGAAGCGCAGGTGGCAGCTCAATGAGAGAAGCTGTCAGAGGTGCGACTCTCGCCCCCGAGCAGCAGAGCGGGGAAGGGAGCCCCGTGCCCAGCCCAGGCGCTTGCAATGCCAGCTCTGGCACAGGGGCATGAGCAGCACCCGGTGCCCCTCTCCATGCCACCTGCACCAGCCCAGGGCAACGGCAGCTCCTTGGAGGCTGCAAGCACTGGCACGGCATCATGGGTCAGAGGAGCAAGACAGAGCCCTGCCGCATGCAAACACCCCTACGCCTCCTCTCCCAGGCCCCCGAGACCCAGGGAGCAAAGCAGGAGCTGCCTTGCCCCAAATCCAGTTACTGGAGCAGCGGTGCCCAGGCAGACCACCACCCGCATGCATCCCCTGGGCAGCAGCCAGTAAGCAAGCGCCGCTGGCAGATGGCTGCAGGATGATTCACAGCGTGGCTTTGGGCGCCGACTCACCGGCTGCCCGGGGTGAGCAGGGCTGGGGACACGGCCACACCCCGACAGGCGGGCGCAGAGCGCAGGCACCTGGCAGGCAGGGCCAGGCATGGCTGGTAGCCTAGTCCCCGTCTCAGGAGCACATCCCGTGTGCCCTCCCCAGCGTCATCTGTGCTGCCCGGATGTCCCTGCCCTCCCTGCAGCGAGTCCAAGATAGGTCAGGGCCAAGTGTGGACCCCAAAGGGCACAGGAGCAGGCCCTGGGGGTGCAGGGAGCGAGGGGCACCTCCCGCCTGCATGGGGCAAGGTGTGGGACACCCACGCACCACCCCGATGCAGGCTGGGAGTCTGGGGCAGACGCCTGCACCTCTCCAGTGGCTTTGCAAGAACGAGCCGCTGCACACAAGTGGGGCACGGGGGCTTTCCAACCCCCCACCTCACCTTCCCCTCCGACATGGGCTCCATCTTCTTCAGCTGCTGCTCGGGTGGGGGCTGGGCTGCATACGGGGAGCTGGCCACGCTCTGGCTCCGCGAGGAACCTGCGGCAGAGCAGGGGGGTCAGCGCGGTCGGCAGAGACCCCCGCAGCACCGGCCTGGCAGCTCATGGGGGTTGCGGGGCTCCATCTCTTCCCCCGGTGCTGAGCTCCGTCCATCCCACGCTACAGCCCGCAGGGAGCTGGGGGGCCGCCAGCAATAGCTGGGGGCAGGGTAGGGCTCTGCCATGCAATCCCCCTCCTCTGTAGAGGGGCAGGGAGGGCCGCAGGGAACGGGTCCCAGGCAGCCCCACCACCCACACAGCTCCTGGCATCCCGTCGCAGGGACTGGAAGTACCCCGGCGGTTGGAGGGCTCTGGCCTGACCTGGCCACAGGATCCAGACCCGCGCCGCCCCCTCCTCCATGCCCCCCTGCCCTGGATGCAGCCTGCGAGGGAAGTGGCTGGACACGGGCAGCAACCCCCGCCCCCGTCCTCCCCGCACCCCCTCAGCCAACACGAAGCCCAGGCAGCTGCCCAAAGCTGGGCGCTGT